CCCCCCGCAGTGCCACATACATAGCACACAGCCCCAGGCAGCACCAATGGGGTGACCCTGTCAGGTGCCCTCAGGGGGTCTGGGAAATGAGACTCCCTCAAGTGTGAGCATTTGTGTGAAGCCTCTCCCTCCCCTGCTAGAGATAAGGCAGATGTGGTTGCCCTTTAAGAGATATTAAATGCTTTTATTTTCCATATTAAAAATCAGTATTTTTAATATTAAAACAGCGCTAATTTTAACAAAATGACAGAAAACCCCCCCATGGTACAATCTACAGGGAAACCCATCCTGACCACTCCCCTCCACACACACAACTGACTGGGCCTGGGGTGTAGGTGCCTAGCAGGGTTCCCAGTCACATCCACGCACACGTGTGCACTCATGCACAGGCCAGGGGGCGGTCCAGGAACAAGTACCAAAATAGTTTTAGAAATGACTGTCCCGCCCAGGCATTAGAAAAATACTCTTTGCAAAGGGAGGGAAAGGACGGTGTGGAGTGGGAGGTGGCACAGGGTGCTGGGCCCCACCTGTCCTCTCCCTGAGGCAGCAGCCCCCAGGGCAGCCAACTGCCTATAGGAGGATGCAGACTCCTGGGCCCACACTCCAGGGCTGGCCCTCAGTAGGGACAGGATGGCAGGTCCCACTGGAGCCCACAGGTTAGCAGGTGTAGATCTATGTTAAGGGGCCAGGCAGGAGCCAGGGATCCAGGACCCTAGCTCCAAGCAGGACAGCAGTAGTTTGGGATAGTTCTGGCCTTCCTGGAAGAGGGAAAGAAGAGGGATCAGGAGGTTAGGGAGGCCCAGAGGGCAGGCACAGCCCTTCTGTGACAGCCTGAGATGGGCTTGATGAGTCTCTTAAGCTGGGTATCCAAGCACAGGACCACACACAACCCACTGAGGCCAGGGAGGGTGCCAGACGAAAAGGGAGCCAGAGCTGTCTGTGCCCAGTGCAGGGTGGGGCTGTGGCTGCTGGTCAGGTGGATGGAGGCACGAGGCAGCAAATGGGGTGGGCAGATCTGTGGGCCCACGTTGACACAGCCAGGAGCAAGTCACTCTCCAACTGGGCTCAGTGGCAGGACCTGACCTTGTGTACCTCAGTAATCTCACCTGTGAAATGGGCTGGCCAAACTAGCCCCCCCCCCCGCCCCAAATTGCTGCCACCTGTAAGTGGTTTAATCTAATTTTGTTCCATCTACTGCCCATGACATGCAAGGAATGATGGGCTGGCCCTGCTTTTCTAATACCCAACTATGAAAATTACATTTGTTTGAGCCCCTAAAGCCCCCCGTCAGGACATCCCGTGGAAGGCAGCAGGTTTCAGGGAGTGCCAGTGTTCCAGGTACAAGACCAGGGTGGGGGCAGGGCCTGACGGGTGGAGGCTACTCAGTAGTGAGGACGAGGTGGACCCAGGGCCCCACCCCTGCAGCACCTCATTTGATCAGGATGGCACAGGCCCGGGCCTCATCTTCCGCCAGGTTCCTCAGATTCTTCTCCGATTCCTCTGAAGAGCTACAGGATGGGGGCAGTGATCAGAGGGTAGGGGTGGGGGAGCCTCTGGCAGCCCTGGGAGGGAGGCCAGGGAGACGGGGCAGCCCCTCACCCACTCGCTGGCCTCACCCCAGGAAATCCTTCACATCCTCCACTGTGACATCTCCTGTTGTGTCCAGCGTGGTGTCAGCGCTGGTGGCCGAGTCGACGGACATGGGTGAAAGCATGGCCTCCAGTGGCTCTGAGGTGTCTGCAGGGAGGAAGTGATAAGCCCCTGCCAGGACTCCTCTGTACCTGGGGGCCTGGGGACATAGACCCAAAAGCAGCCCACAGTGGGATGTGGCACCAACAGGCACACGCTCAGCCCTCTCCTGCCCAGCTTCCAGCCTTGGCTCAGCTGCTGCCCCCTGCAGAGGCCTGCCCTGAACCTGAGCTGTGCGTCCTGACTCCCTCCCCAGGACACCATCAGGCCAGGCAGGGCTTGCCCCCATCTCATGCTCCCTTTACCGGTTCCCTTGCTGTGGGCTGGATCTGGGCTCCCGTCGCAGCTCTGTGGGGCCAGGATGATGCTCGGGGTCCCGTTAGCCTGGCTCAGCTTGGGTGACTCTCGGAGCCTGTAGCTAGAGAGAGAGGGCCGTGATGGGGACTGCAGGGACGTGCTTTGAGGCTGTAGCACTAGATCCCCACCCTCCCACGCCAGAGCCCGGGGAACAGACAGGAGATATAACAGGGAGGGCAGATCAGGGGTGGGTTGAGACCTGGCCCTGGCCACAGCCACTGGGCTAGGGGCTGCCCCTCCACACCTGGCCCGGGTGGCATTGCGGGGCCAGCTGATGTCCAAAGAACAGAGTGGCTCCGTGATGTTCCGGGCACTTAGGGAGAAGCGTTCGAATTCTGACGGGGAAATCAGGTAAAAGCCTGGGCATGCAGGAGAGGAGTGAGGAGTGCAGTTAGGAGGTGTGACACCAACCACAGCCCCTCAGCTGGTCCCCTCCTGGCACGTGCTAGTGGGCCTTGCTAGGCCCCACCTGGAATGCTTTCTGCTGACTCCACTCCCAAGCAATTCTCCTGGCCTCTCCTGGCTTGACTCAGGCAGCCTTCCCCAACACCCCTGCCCCACCTCACCCTGGCCATGGCGCGTGAAGACACATGAGGCAATGCCACTGATGTCCTCCTTCCGGATACAGGAGTAGTGCACTTGGGGTCGCAGGCCAGGCACCGAGAAGACATGGACGTCACCCAGGTTGGTGAGGCAGGCCAGGCAGGTCTCAGCATAGTCCTCGCAGGCCACACTGGCAAACGTGGCCAGTGCCACCTTGCGTACTCGACAGCCTTCATGGGCTGTCAGCTTGAACTTGGTCTTGGCACTCACCTTGGGCAGTGTGAACACCTGGTGGCAGGCAGCCAGTGAGCACACAGCCTGGCCCTATTCTTGCCCCAGGCCCCTCACCCTCACAGCTGCTGGCCTGCCACCCCCCACCCCAAAGCCCAGCTTGCCCTGCAGGCCTCAATCCCAACCTGCGCCCTGGGCCATACTGCCTCCCCTGCCTGTGTACCCTGCCGCCCCCTTGCTCAGGCTGGCCTTCCCCTCCTGCATCCTCCATGCTCGACCTAAGCTTCAGGCTGTACCCCAGAAACCTCCCAGGCCCCCTCTCCACGTGTGGCATGCTCACTCACACATGGTCCCCTAAGGTTATGTCTGGTATCCCCACCAAACCATGAGTTCCTCTAAGACAGAACCCCTGGGACTGGACTCAGGGGTCCCAGCGGGGTACACGAGCCTTGTGGGGTACAGTGAGATAGGAGGATCTTAGGAGAACTCAGCAGACTGGGGGGACATCAGGGTTCTTGGCAGGGAGTCTCTGCTGGCTGGAGGTGTTTCCAAGGAGGAGGAGGATCATGGAGCGTCTCAGCAGGTGGGGGATACAGGAAGGGTGGGGGGGTTCTGGAGGGTCCAATGGTGTCCTTGAGGTGCGGGACTCCACAGCCCACACAGCTCACCTTGAACTGCTCCTCAGATGCGATGAGCACAGCGTGACCGCCCTGCATGTCAGGTGCTTGAGCCAAGTCCCGCGAGGCTTCATAGGGCTCGGGCAGTGGGCGGCCGCGCCCATCCAGCACGGCAATGGCCACCACGGGCGCCCGGTGCATCAGCTGCACCTCCTTGCCCAGCACGGCCTCCACTGCCCCCTCGGGCCGCTTCTCGCTGCCTGCCGCTGCTGCCACCGGCACCTCCAGCGCGTAGGCAAACACGGAGCCCGAGTTGGTGCCTGCCCACATGGTGGGCCCGTGGTGGGCAGCTGCAAGGGACGACTCTGTGAGGAGGGTGCTCCCTGCAGGCTGGGCATTTCCCCTGCAGCCTCCCCACACACTGCAGGTCCTTTCCGCCTCTCCTGCACCTCCACTTCCTAACTGTGATACCCCGGGACTCAGGACTGGTTCCCTCCTGTCCCATGCCAGCCTCCCCAGTGACTTCAACCTCTTGGCCTGAGACACCAGCTCTTATGCTGCAGACTCCAGTCGAGGCCCCAGATGCAGCCCTTCTGCAGACGCACGAGCAGCCTCTAGGGCACCTGCACAGGATGTCAGCAGGCACCCACAACAGACCCTGCTCCCTGCAGGCTGCACCCTGAGCCCCGTCTCAGTAAATGCAGCTCTGTCCTTGTCACTCATGCTCCAAACCCTGGAAGTCCCTGATTCTCCTCTCTACCTTACACGGCCCAGCACTAGACCTGTCATCAGCCCGGGAATCAGGGCCTCGCCCCACAGGGCGCCCCATCTCAGCCCCTGCCTTGCCCCTCCTTCTTCGGCGTTCCTGAAAGGCAGCCAGAGGAAGCCTTTTCAACACAGAAGACAACAGGCCTGGGGCAAAATACGCTGAGGCCACTCAGGACGCCCCCTGGCCCTGCCCTGCCCTGCCTATGTGAGCCAAACCTCTGGGGAGCAACATTTAGTGGAGAATCAAAACTGAACCCTACAGGAGCAGGGGTGGACCTGGATGTTCCCACTTTGCACCTTGATGACTGAGGGACCTACACAACCACCACAGCTTTGAGGTGAAAAACCACCGAGCAACTCAGAAAATGACACGCCAGACAGGAGCCCTGGCCAGCCATGAACCTGAAACCATCAGCTTCCTCACAGAGATGGCGGAACAAACTGAAAACCTTGGGCCACTTCAGCCATGTGCAGACAGTGAGAAAATCTACAGGACAAAGACCCTTGGCAAATAAATGACATCAGAAAGGGGGCCTGTGGACCAAGCAGGAGATGAGACTCAGGAATTAGCGTCAGCTCTACAGGGCATGACGTGGCTTATTGGTAACGTCTGTCAGACACACGCTTGGGCTTTTGCTTCAAAGAGCCCACGAGATAACACAGCAGAGTGTGGGTGGGACAGGCTTCAGCTGCAGCGCACCGGCGGCAGCAGGTGAGACACGAGGGCTGACCGTGACCCTCTCCCTATTTTTGTGTATCTTTGAAATTCTCAAGTTAAAAAACAAACAAACAAACAAACAAATCAATCAATGACTTAATCAACACACCCAGGCCTTTCCGGGGCTCCAAAGCCACTCAGAATCGAAGCCGGTCCCCAGCGTGGTGGGCAGCCCCAGCGCCTCTGAGCTACCTCCTCGGCACTAACTGGCTCCACTCTAGCCAAGGGCCGGGCAGCTCCTCACACACACGCCCACCGTGGGGCACGGGCCAGTGTGGCTCCTTGTTGTCCCCCAGGCCTTGGGCTCCCTCCTCCAGGCTCGCTCACCAACCCCTCACTATCTGTCCCCCACAACCCCAGTGGGACTGTGGGTGGCCCAGCACACAGGAAGCGCTCAGTGATTTTGAACCTCCTGAAGGTCCAGTCGCCCCACTGTCCCCACCAACACCCATCTCCTGGATGGCCAACTGAGGCCAACCTCCCCAGCCCCTCCCCGCCCTGGCCTCACCATCTCGAAGGAACGTGTCGGCAAAGTAGAGGCAGCGCACAACACCCGAGAGGGAGTCATCCGCAGAGCGGGGCTCGATGCGGCGCTGCACGGGTGTCATCTCCACGTCATGGGGGCAGGCTTGTTCAGCCAGCTGCGCGTTGGCCTCCTGCAACTGGAGGGGTGGGGGGCTCCTGAACACCGTCTCCCCTGCACCCCAGCTGCTCACCTTGCCTGACACCCCACATCCCATCACTATCCCTCCACCACCCTGCCTAGCTCACCCTATCCCTCCTGACGGCCCAGAGGCTGCAGGGAAAGGAGCACCGTGAGGTGAGCAGCCCCCAGGGTCCCAAGCCAGGACCAGAGCATGGCTCCCAGGCAGTCTGCCCCAGCTCACCTTGCTGTTGGCATTAGCAGCCCGCTTCTTGCCAGAGACACGGCTTTTGCGGATGCGCCGGAAAGACTGGCGCAATGACTTCTTAAGTGACTTCACCCGGGAGAGTGGCCCCTCCATGGCCAGGGAGTCGTTGGGGTGAAGAGTGCACCTGAAGGCAGGCAGGGGCTGGTCGTGCTACAGAGCAGCCTCCTAGAGCAGCCACCACTCCAGCTGAAGCCCAAGCCCCCGTGGCACTGCCCCATGGACCCACCAGCTGGTGGTACTTAGAACGTCCTTTATGGAGCTGCCAGGTTATTTCTTACCAGATGATGGAGGTTACAGGGGCTTTAAAAATCACCCCACCTTTGCCACACCAAACCTTACAAGGGGAAACGGAGGCCCAGATCCCATTTCACGTGGGAGGGGGCTCCAGCTGCCCACAGCCCCTGCTCCACACACCTGGCTAGCACAGGGCTCTTGCGCTGGTAGTCGAAGAGGCCAAAGCCATGACTGGTGCCAAAGGCCACAAGGCCCCACTCAGTGTGGAGCGTGACAGCAGTGACAGCGGCTGGTGGCAGGCACTGCACCAGCACACGGGGCTGGAAGCCAGCAGCCCAAGGCAGCAGTCCCGTGCGCGGACTCAGTCTCTCGTGGCCCTTCCACGTGAAGCCCTCGCGGTCCTGGAGGAGGTCCACACTGGCCAAGCTGACCACGTGCTCCGAGGGCACGTCGCTGAGCTCCAGCACCAGCACCTGAGCCCACGCCGGGGTAGAGGGAGGGTCAGCGCAGAGGTGGGGGCCACCCTGGGCCCACCCTAGCCTGCGGCTTTAGAAACACGGCACCAGCCACTGACTGCCCAGGACTAACTTCAGTTCATCCACTGAATAAGCACCTACTCAACATCTACTGTATACCAAAGTCCTTGCTGAGCACCAAGGAACACAGTGGTGACCAAGATCCCTGCCTCCTAGAGGTAAGTACCCACCCCTCCCATTTAGGGAAAAGCACACATTCAGAAGTATCTGTTTACCATGTGAGTGCCAGAGGCACAGCAATGAGCTATGTTCCTGCCCCTTCCCCAACCTTCCATGGTTCCCCCAGCAAGAGCCTGACTCAGAGCCCCCAGTGATGGGCCCACTTCCCATTGTCCCTGCCCCAGCCAGCCCCACCTGGAGCCCCCTTCCCACCTCTGGGCTTCAGCCTGTGCCAGTCCCTCTATTTCTCCTCCAGAAAGCCCTCCCTGACACCGCCAATCCAGGGGATGCCCAGTCCTACCTGGCCTGCAGTGCCAGCCACCACCATCTGGGCTGTGTACTTGCAGAGCGTGACCTTCTGCACACCGAGCCGGGGATCATCACTGTAGGGGTCAAAACAACCCACCTGCGGGGATGGGATGGGGTGATGTCACTGGGCAGAGCTGGGACCAGCTCCTCAGGCCCAGGGGAAAGGGGTCCACCTTGCGGAAGGGCGGCCAGTCATCCTCGGCAGTCTGGGCCAGGCTGTCAGCATGCTCACAGTCCGTCTGGAAGAGGCCAGCCGTGCTCAGCTTGTAGAGTGGCCGTAGTGCCACGCCTGAGGCATCCCAGAACCGTACAGTACCGTCCTCGTGGCTGCAAGGAGGGCAGGTGTCAGGGCCACCCCTAGGTCTCTGGGTAGCTTGCACACCCCTCCATCCATTCAACCAGTGACCACTCACTGAGCACTTACTGCACATGCCAAACACCAAATCCTACTGCATGCAACAAGCAGTAGGCACCTACTGTATAGGAGAAACACATACTAAATATCTACTGTATGCCAGGTCACATGCACCACACGCACCACGGCCCTTCAAACAGAGTGGGAAGGTATGGAAATGATCACCCTAATGAATAGGAGATGGCAGAGAGGGATGCGCAGAGAAAAAAGGACCATGTCGGTTCTACCCCCACTGGGAGGCACAGAGCACAGAGCAAGGGATCCCAGGAGGAGGAGCAAGGGATCCCAGGAGGAGGAGCCAGCTATGGTGGGAGGAGGCCACACAGGCAGAACAGCAGGGCAACTGAGGAGCCCAGGAGGAAGCAGGGAGTGGGGGAGGGGAGGAGTAGACAAATGTAGGGCGCAGCCTCGGGACACAGATGCAGAGCACAAGCAAGGGCTGCCGGGCACCAGTGGGAGCCCAGAACCAGGGCAAGAGAGGGTTGTCAGTCTGTGGGGCTGGTTAGGACCCACCCCAGCAGTCCTGAGCACGCTGGAGTCAGAGGCCTGAGGGTCCCCAGCACAGAAGGGAGGGAGGGACAGGGCAGGAAGTCAGGGCCTGAGTCATCGGGCACGTCAGCGCCCGCCAGGCCCAGGTCGGGCTCTCTAGCACCTGCCCCGGGCAGCTCACCGTGGGCCAGCCCAGATTTTCCGGTCCCAGGGCAGGCAAGCTGGGTGGGTGGAGCCCTGGGGCTTGTTGGAGCTCAGTTCTAGGCCAAAAGGTATAGCAGGGTGGGGCCTCAAGCCAGGGTCTAGGGAGGTTTTATCCCAATCCACCCTGGGCGAGGGGGATAACACAGTCCCGCCAGGGGCCATGCCTGAGTCTCCTGGCAGCTCAGTGCCCACCAGACCCGAGACGGGCTTTCCCACACTGGTGAGGGGAACCCCAGGCCTAGTAGGTACAGAGTCTCACTCACCTACATACACGCGCACACACGCACCTCACAGTTGTGTCTGCCTTACCCAGTCAGCAGCAGCCCTCGCTGTGATGGCTCCTGGGCCAGGTTCCGGCCCCCAGTGATGGGCCAACTCTAGGAGAGGGAGGCAGAGATATGCACATAAGGTTAAGAGGAACGTCTCTCCCTCTCACCCCTGCATGGCACAGTCCAACCTTCAGGCCTGGACCTGGGCAGTGCCCTCCCCCAGGAACATCCCCCCAACCCGGCACACACCGAGGCACTGGAGGCAGGCTGAGGGCTCTGCTGCTCGCCGGCGCTCACAATGCGGGCCCACAGCTTAGCAGGGACGTTGGCAACATGGGCCGAGCAGGTGATAGCGGATGAGTGCAGTGGGGCCAGGTACGGGGCAGGCACAGCCGGCCAGCCAGGCGTCTGAAGGTCAAGCACCACCAGTTCCTCTTCAAGCAGCACAGCCAAGGCCTGGGGATCATCAAAGTCTGTCGGGGGAGAGACAAGTTGAGCACAGCCACAGGTGGCACAGGGCACCGGGTGGGGCTGGGGGGCAGCACACACACCATCCTCAGGCCGCGTGCTGTGCACTGTGAAGAAGTCGATGATGCGGGAAGTGAAGTCAAGCGTCACCAGCACCTCGGCTCGCAGCACACTCACACAGTGGCGGTCACCATAGCTGGCACGGGGCATGCCACCACTGAAGATGATAAAGTGGCCCCTGCATGCGGAAGGGAGGTCCGTGAGCCTGGAGCCAGCTGGGTCTGAAGCACACACCCCACGGCCCAAGAAGAGCTCACCCTTCCAGCCCCCCAGCCAGACCTGACCCATGCCAGACACCCACACCCTCAACGTACCCGGATTCACAGTTCCGCCACAGAATCTTGTTGATGGCCTTGCAGGGAAAGGGGCCTGGGAGGTGGGACAGCATCAGACTGCACTCACTGGCAGTTCCTCCCATTCTTGCTCTGCCCCCCCACCTCTCTCTTCCTCCCAGCTGCCTCCTGCCTCCTCCAAGGGGAAGGCCCACTGCCCCTCACCATGCCCCCCAGGGAAGTCACCACTTTGCAGATCTGCCTCAGCTTAGCAGCACCCCCCACCAGGGCCAGGCAGCCCTTCTGTCCCCACCTTCCAGCTCAGGCCTCCCCAGCACTCACCGTACGGTGTGGTGGCTACCGTGGGCTGCAGTGCCGGGGAGCTGCCAACATCTGCAGACCAGATGGCATAGCTACCATCACTGTGTGAACTGGTGACAGTACTGCCATCGCGGCCCCAGCACAGGCTCTCCAGCTGCTGTGGGTGGGCAGGGGCAGGAGGATGTGAGCTACAGTGGGTGTGTGCAGGGGGTCCAGGCTGAGGGCGCACGGGCCTCACCCACATACCTGGTTCCCCAGGAAGACATGGTCTACACACCGCGCAGCCTGGTTCCAAATGACCAGCAGGCCCCGGCTGTAGCCAATGAGAATCTTGGTGGGGTCCCGCAGGTGTCCCTGGAGTGACTCCACGGGGCCCAGTGCCTTCCCACACCGGTAGTCGTCGGGCAAGCTGCAGAGGAAGCTCAGGTGAGCAGGTAGAATTTCCTGGGCACAGAGCCAATGCTAAGAAGCCAGCCTGCCTCTCACCTGCGCAGAACCTCATCTGGACCAAGGGTCTGCCCCTCAAGCAGCGTCAGGGTGGTAACATCCAGAAAGAAGACACTGCTGCCCTCAGTGCCCAGGGCTGCCATGTCGCCAGCAGCCACCAGCAGGACCACAGTGACACGCGTGAGGCTAGGCGGGGCGCTGCAGGGAAGGAGGGGAAAGGGTGAGGGTGCGAGCCTGTTCACTTGCTGAGGGGTGTGGAGGGGCTGGGCCACTACTGGTAGCTCATCACCAGCCCCACTGCACTCGCTGGGGCCTACTTATGGAGCCGCCCGGGAAGGGGATGTGTGTCATAATTAGCCTGCTCAATTATTCATCAGGATGTCATCAGGGAGAGGGATAAAATTAGGTTCCCCAGGTCTTGGAGACTGGACTCCCAGCTCCACCCACCCACCAGGTGGGGAAGGCAAGAACCAGGACATGACCCAGGCCAGGACCAGGAGCTCCAGAACAGACAAGGCCCCTCTGAGTCCCACCCAAGAATCCCGCTCCCAGCCCTCTGGATGTCCCCTGACTTTGCAGGAAGGTTCCAGATCACCCCTGCCTGCAGAGACTGGGAGGCCCCAGGAATCCACCCGTGGGTTAGGACTCCCCCATTCCAGTCCAGGGGTAGGGAGGGAGAGGTCCCTATACTCTCACCTGGGGATCTAGGCCCACTTGGTGACACACTGGGGCATGCTGCCAGCACCTCAACAAGCACAGCCTGTGGGACCCTCCATGCCCCTAAACTTGCCTTTTCATCTAGGCACACAATGGCCCATCTCCCACCCCCAATTCAAGGTGCCGGGGAACCCTTATTGATGTCAGCTCAGCTTAGACCCTGCCCCAGGTTCCTAGACACCCTCATCATTGCAGGGAGTGCAGCACCAGGTGTCAGGTCCGAAGATCTTGGTATATAACATATGTATCTCCTGGTGCTCACACCATTAATTACCTGCTCGCCTCAGACTCAGCCAAAACCTCCCATTCAATCCAAAAAGTTCATAAAGCACACCTCAGTCCATACGGGGTCCAACTGCTACAGCCTGAAAACCAGGCCTAGCTCAACGCACCGATACCCTGAACTGTAGCCCCCACTGGCAGCTTCCCGTACCCACCATGCCATTGCACAGCCAGCTCCTGCAGCGCTCCCACCAACAGAATGCCCCTACCCAGCGGCTGGCCCCACCCAAGTCCTCTAGTACCTGGCACCGTCAAAGCCAGGCCGGCTGGGCAGCTGGAAACTGAGTGCTTCCTCCAGGTGGGCGCAGCTGTTATGGTGGATGATCTCCCAGAGATGCAGGCTGCTATCGTCCAGCAGGGTCAGGAGGCGGCCCTGATGGGTGAACAGAAACCAAAACTGGGCTGGCCTGGGGGTGGGGGGGTTGAGGAGTCATGGGGGCTACAGGAGCTGGCTGGTGGGGAGCAGAGGCTCACCTGGCCGGGCAGGAAGTGCATCTGTGTGACAGTGGCTGCGTCACGGTGCAGGCCTGTGAACTCCACCCCAGGTGCACCATAGCTGAAGGTGACAGGTCAAGGGCAGAAACACGCAGGCACAGACTGGGAAACCATGGCATGGGAGACACCCAGGCCTCCTCCCTCCCCAGGACTATTCCAATGGGCCCCGGCCCAGGCCTAACCATCCAGGCATCATCCAAGGCCCAGCAGGGCCCCCTCCCTGAAAAAGCTCCCATCCTGCCCCAGGCTCAGAGTGCAGGGTCCATTCACTCCTGCAAGCTGGGTGCTGCTATGGGACCTTCACTTCATTATCTGTAAAATTAGCTAGTGACTCCCGCCTCATAGGGCTGTTGTAGACTGAGTGAGAATAAATACACACCCAGCAAGCCTGGTCCAGGCCTGGCACCCAGCTGGGGCTCCACTGCAGCCTCATGTGTGTGTCTGTGTGGGCTCTGAGAGCTGGGCCTGGCAGGTGGGGGTCAGGCAGGCCAGATGCAAGGCCAGGCCCTGACAAGGAAGCCTGAGCCCAAGGGAGAATCCAGGCTGCCTCTCCCCGCAGCTTCAGGTCAAACTCCAGCTGTGGACAAGGAAAGTAATCTCCCTCCAAGGCAGGTAGCCAACAACTCTATCTCTGAGGGAGGAGTGACCCCAGCTTGCCCATTTTACAGATGAGCATACAGAGACCTGGAGAGGTCTGGGGACCTGCTTGAAGTGCCCAGTGCCAGTGGCAGAGTCCCAGCAACTTCAGGGTTGATGGTGGATGGCAGAGCCTGAGGGGGCCCCAGGAGGGGGGCTTGGGAGGAGCCAGCCACGTTGCCCTGGTGACAACACAGGAGCTGTTGCCTGGAGCTTGAGCCGAGATCCCCGCAGGAGCCTGGCCGGGAACTCAGAAAACAGGACAAAAGAGGGGGCAGGAGCAGCTAGGCGGGAACCAGGTCGTCAAGGAGATGCTCAGCCTTGCAAGGGGAGGGGCAGCGGCTAGAGACCAGGGCTGGCCCTCTCCAGCCTCAGTTTCCCAACCCCAGGGCCCCAGGCTCTAGAGGTCTGGGGGAAGGAGGGAAGGAAAGGGGGCGCGGGGCCCTGGTCTCCTCTCTGAGGCTCGGTCTCCAGGTTCTTTGTGAGCCTGAGGAGCCAGCACACGAGAGGGACAGCTCGGAGTGTGTAACAGTGAGGCATGTCCCTGTGAGGAAGAGGCCACAGGGACACGCGTGTGGAAGCAACACAGCACCCATGAGGGGTGGGAGCAGCAGGCCAGGAAGCTCTGCTGCCACCCGCACCTTCCCCACCCCCACTGGTGCCTCAGGGGCCCACAGGAGAGGAGAGGACATTCCGGCCCAGCCACACTGCCTGGAGCAGGCCAGAAGCACACAAACCAGAGGCCCACCCCTGCCTGGCCAGTGTCCCCGGCCCTGGGGTGAGGAGACCCCCAACCTATGCGCTCCCTGTTCCAAGCAATGACTCATTTTCTGCTAACCGATGTCCGCCAGGCTACTGAGACGCAGAGGGCCACACGGGAGGGGGAGGGGTGGCAGCCCTCACCAGGCACCCGCCAGCCAGACCCCGAACCTCGGTTTCCCCAGGAGCAGTTGGGGTGGGATTCTCCAGGGCAGGCAAGGAGGCGTTCAGCTGCCTGGCCGCCCCCCACCCCCACCCTGTGCCTACAGGGAAAATGCCCGCTTTGTGCAGCTCACACAGCCCATTGTGCAGCCGCCAGGATCCAGGTGGGGGCCGTGCTGCGCTCACCACGCCGAGCCTGGCACTGCCCCGGCCCCCTTGGCTGAACACACATGTCCACGTTTGTACACATGTGTACACCAGCTCACCAGGGCCCCCAGCCCAGCCACCCTCAGTGGGCACCAGGGCCTGTCTCCCCAGTCACAGTTGCTGGGACAATGGCAGGGTCGCCAAGGTAACTGGCTGGCTGAAACGCAGCAAGGGACAGCTGTGGCCACTGCAAACTGAACAACCCATCACCCTGTCTCCCAGTGAAAGGACCCCATCATCTCTGTGAGGAGTTGTCCCAGGTGCAAAAGCTGGGCCAGCCTCCACCAAGATCCCAGCATTTGCTGCAGCCTCCACAGAAGCCCCCTCTACTGCCTCGCCAAGGCCGGTACTGAGCGCCCACAGAACTGCAAGCAGGTGGTCCCAAAGAGGCCCTGCAAGTCACAGCTACAAAGGATACATCTTGACAGCCCCAGACCTGGTGCCGATGGCCATGATGCGAAGTTCAGGGTCAAAGGCCAAGGCGCTGGGCTGGTTGGGGAAGCCATGCTCCACAGTCTGCAGGGATGGGGGGAGGAGAGGGCTGTGAGGGGGGACGGCCTAGGTGCAGCTGCCCCCAGCCCACCTGGAGGCCCACTCAGAGGCAGCCTTCAGGCTCTGCCGCTGACACACTGGAGCAGGAGCCAGGACCGCCTGTTCTTTATGCCTGTGTCAACAGTGAAATGGGTGACAGCTCCTCCAGTCGATGGGGAGGTGGCTGAGTCCCTGGGCGTCCCCATGGCTCTACTGTGGGCATAGCCCACAGAGGCCCTCCCCTCACAAGTCCCCGATCCCCTCAACGTCTGTGTCGACCCCGGTTCTAGCAACAAAAAGGGAGAACAAGGCTTACGGAGGCACAGGTGCTGACAAGGACCCCGCCTGCCCCATGGAGGGCACAGAGGCACAAACTGAATCCTGGTGAGGAGCCATGCCACCTGGGGTCCCATGTGAAGTCCGGGGCACTCCCCAAACACAGGCCAAACATTGAGGTCTGAGGTGAAGAGGCAATGCCCAGGATCAGCTAGGCAGAGGCTCTTGACTCCCCCCAGAGACAAGGAGAGACTGAGGCCCAGAGAGAGGTAGCTTCCTGCTGGCCCTGAAGGTGTCACCTACCTCCCTACCTGGAAACAGCTGGACAACACGATGCCATGCCTATCAGCAGTGCAATGGGCACGGTGTTAAGGGGGCTTGCGCACCAGGGTGTTGACAGAACAGCTCCCCCCACCTGCTCCTCTGCTCCTTATGAGGCCAGTCCCAGCCCGCTGTGGCCCCTTCCCCACCTGCCACGTGCTTGCTCCCACTCCTTCCTCTGGCTGGGCTCACCCACTCAAGGAGTTCCTACTCATCCCCCAGGGCCTAGCCAGGAGGGCCCTCCTGGGGAGCCTGCACACTTGGGCCCTAGCCATGTCCTGAACACTAGTGAGGGATGCCCCCATGTGTGCCACAGATGACTCCTGACCCACCACCTCAAAAAGTCACACATTTCTAAGAACCCAGTCCCCAGCCTGTCACCCCAACCTCCCTCTGTGCCTCAGCCCAACCGAGCAGAGACTGAGCCCTCTGGGCAGCTGGCTTGGCCAAGGCCTGGCTGTTTGGCCTTGGGCTAGTCATAATACTCTCCAAGCCTCAGTTTTTCCATCTGGGGACTGGGGACAGTGATCCCACCCGAGGACAGACTTAGCCATTTGGCTGGGGAGATGGGAGGAGCTTCCCTTTCCCACCAACACTGCCGCACCCATGCTGGACCTGACCTTTCTATCCTGTCCCCTTGCCTACGGCCAAGTGTCCAGAGACAGGGTGCATGACACACCTGCATCGCAAACCCCCACAGCTCTGAAGTGGCCCCCACCTGGCTCCCCACTTTAAAGAGGAAGGAGAGAAGATTAGGTCCTCTGTCCAGCATCTGCTTCCCTCACACCCCAAGCCCTACCCATTTCTGGGCCCCATCGGCTCAGCTTCAACACACACTCAAAAGGCACCCTTCTCACACCCTACCGGCCCTGCCCTGCTCTAGGCCCCACCATCGGTCCCCACACAGAGGCTGGTGCGATCCCGTGAAAACCACGGTCAAGTCCTCCTCCCTCCTCTGCTCAGGATCCTCCTCAGGCTCCCAGATCACCCAGAGTCACCACCTGGCCCGTCTCTGGCTTCATCTCTCACCCTCCCCCGGCTTGACTTCAGGCCCAACACCCTTTTGCTTTCACCCCATTCACTAGGCAACTCCTGCCTCAGGGCCTTTGCATCCACTGTCCCTTTGCTTGGACTGGCTTCACCCGGCACTCCCATAGCAGGCGCCTTCTCTGCTCAGGATTCACTCCTCAGAGAGCCCCCTAACTCGCCCTGGCTGTATGCAGCAGCCCTCCCTGGCTGCACCTCCACACCCTCACCCTACTTTATTTTACCCACAGCACTGACCACCATCCAAACTACTACATATTCTACTTTGTCTCCCTCACTAGCACATCAGCCCCCTGAGCAAAGACATATTTGTCCCTCTGGGTGATATTTGTCACTGCTGTGTCCCCAGCACCTAGGAGACCTCACACATAGCTGAGGCTCAGTATCAGTGCACATTCCAAAGACAACTTGTGAGCTGGGCTGGGATTTGAATCCAAGACTCAAGAGTCCAAAGTGCATGCTCACTTCTGACCCGCATCCTTCTCTCCAGACTCAGGAATCCGGGGCCTATTCCCTAGGGATCACATACCAACCCCCTTTAGTGACCAAACCCCTTCCCCAAGACCACCCCCCTTCCAACACCATTGCTGCCCACTCAGAAGAGGGCCGCATCCTCCTCAGCAGAGAGCCCTCACTTTCCCCAAACCCATGTATCTCCAGGGGCCACTGCACTCCCCAATTCCACATTTAGCCCTGGGCCTGTCCCTGGCCTTGCTTCTCTTTTCGCCTCACAGAGGCCACCCTCATAGCCACCCCAGCACAGGAAGAGGCATCACTAGGGGGGCCCCTGAGCACCAGCCTCCCCTCTGGGCCCCTCTCAAGTCCCTGGCAGGTTCTCAGCCACCAAGTCTGAGAGGCCAGACAGCATACCCCCCCACCGCCCCGCCTCCGCCTCCACCTCCACCTCAGACCTCCGTAGAGAAACCTGAGCCTGCCATGAGACGTCCCAGTGCCTTGGCCATTCCAGAACCAGCCAACCCAGAGCTTCCTCCACGACAAGACTCACAGCAGCCCAGGGCAAGTGCCATGAAATCAGCTCAGGACCGCAGCAGCCCTTCCAAAAATCCCAGCCCCTCAAAGCACTGACAGAGGAACTCAAGGACGTCAAAGTGGCCCTGGCTTGCTCCGAGACTTTGGGCAAATCATCATCCCCTCTTGAACCTCAATTTTCTCACGTGTATGATGGAGATGGTAACTCTAATTGCAAAAAGCACTGAGAGGCTCTGCCATTAGGGGTCTCTGAAGTAAAACTGAGCACAAAATCAACCCCTCCACCCCACCCTGGGAGTAACTAGCAGGGGGCAGGCTGGGACCTCAATCTAACACACATTAGTGCAAGGGAAGGCAGCCCCTGTCCCATGGCTTCTCCTGCCCCACCCAGGGAAGAAAAGAACAGCCCTCAACCCCTACTCTGCCTTGGTGCAAAGTGGCAGGACAGCTGGCCCAGGTAGTATAGAGAGCCAGAGCCAATAGCAGGGAGGAAAGTGGCTCCATTTCGCAGCGAGGGAAACTGAGGCCCTACATCTGAAGTGCTGTTGAGTACACAGCCAGGCGTGTCCCTGGGACTTGCAGACCCCTGCAGAGCCTGGGGCAATGGCGGAGGGAGGAGAGGCTCCTCAAAGAAATTTCCCAGCCCCACCCCTCCACTCCTCTGGCCCGCCTGGGTGTGAATGCAAAATAAACGGGGCCCAAGACTGTCCCAAGGGCCCAAAGAAAAAGGATAAAGACAGAGAGTGAGAGACAGAGAAACCCAGGAAGAGAGAGAAAGAGAGAATTGAGAGGCAGAGAGATAAAGGGGAACAGAAAAAGAGACAGAGCAGAGAGATATGCAGAGATACACAGGGACAGAGGCAGAGACACCCCACAAACACAGACTGCAGAGAGGGAGACGGTCAAAGAGGGAGAGAGCGGGACAGAGACCCAGAGAGATGCAGGGTCGCACAGAGATACAAGAGATCTGAAGACCCAGGCAGGCAGAGAGCCGTGCAGAGCCAGGGCCAATGAGGCCCACAGAGATCCAGGGAGCAGACGCGGAAAGTCAGCGAGAGACCCAGAGCCATCTGGATTACGAGAGCGGAGGAGGGGAGGACGCGAGCAGCGGGGCCCACCGCGGGGGAGCCCGGCGCGGCCCCAGCCCCGCGCGCCAGCCGGGCGCCCCCTCCCCCCGGGCCCGACGTGGCTCCGGCCCCGGGTCCTCAGCTCGAGCCCCCTCCCGCCCCGGCCCGGGCGGCCGCCGCACCTTGTTGAAGGCGAAGAGCTCCTGCTTGAGCTTCTCCCGCTGCGGGTCGGCGCCCTGCCGCCGGAACCGAAACTTCATCATCTTGCGCCCGGCTGCCGGCGCCGCGCCCGCCACCGCCGCCCGCAGGATGCGCCGCGCGGCCCCGCTGGTCCTGAGGCGCGGGCGGGGCGCCAGGCTGCCGGGCGCGGGCGCGCGGGGCCGGGCCTCACGGGGGGTGGACGCGGGGCGTGACGGACGCGCCGCCCGACCAATGAGGGCGCCCGCCGTGCCGCCCGCCGGGTCCAGCCGGCCAGACAATGGGGAGGGCAGGGCCCCCGGGCTCGGCCGGGCTCGCCAAGGGACGCCCACCGAGCATGCGCCGCGGCGCGGGGCCTGCCGGGACTTGTAGTCCGCGAGTCAGGGTCCCAGAGTGGGCGGCTGAGGACATGCGTTGGGGGGCCCCTGGCGTGTGTTCGCGGACTTGGAGGAGGCTTTTACCCCCTTCAAAGAGCGAGCTGCGTGCACATTCTTGTCATGGGGCAGCCCTGTCCCAGAAGAACTCTAACCAGAAAACTCCCTGGCCCCTCTGAGCCTCAGTTTTCCCATCTACGCCATTGGTCAGGTGATTACCAAGTTTCTATTTTACCAGTTTCCCAAGACACCACTTTATCTGTTCCCCAGAGCACCTCCCACCGCCGTGCTTTTGCCTTGGCTGTGTGGTCAGTCAGGAATTCTCTCCTCAGCCCCCAGGGAACTCCTACACATCCTTCAGGACCCAAAGCAAAAGGCTCTCTGTCACAGCACATGGGATTCTTCTTCTTCTTCTTTTTTTTTTTTTTTGAAACAGAGTCTTGCTCTGTCACTCTGGCTAGAGTGCCTTGGCATCAGCGTAGCTCACAGCAACCTCAAACTCTTGGGCTTGAGCAATCCTCCTGCCTCAGCCTCCCTAGTAGCTGGGCCTATAGGTGTTATGCCAGGACACCTGGCTAATTTTTCTATTTTTAGTAGAGACGGGGTCTCACTCTTGCTCAGGCTGGTCTTAAACTCCTGGCCTCAAGGGATCCTGCCACCTGGGCCTGCCAGAGTGCTAGGATCACAGGCGTGAACTACGGCGCCCGGCCACATGGGATTCTTATGAGTGGCATCAGCAAAAGAAAGACACAGGGACCCAGCAAAGGGAGAGGGCCCTTCCACAGGAGGTGGCTTGGATTTGGACTTTTCTGAAATGAGGGAAGGGCCTCCCTTCCACTGGAACAGTGTATAAACAAAGCTGTGCCCCGCCCCCACGCCCAGAGGGACTGTCCCCACCCACCTCCCTGGACTTCTTTTCTCATCTGGACAATGGCCTCCAGGCTGAACCTTTCCTTCCAGGCTGAGGATGGGCTGCCCTGGGTCAGAGCTGGGGCTGGGTGAGGCCCCAACCCCACCAGCTGTGTAAAGGGAGGAGGGGTTGACCTCTGACCCCCAGGCAGCTGCCAAGCAACAGGGGCTTGTCTGTCCCCCTCCACCCACGCCCAGCGCTGCTTGGCCCTTGCCGAGAGTTGGCGCTGGATCCGGAAGAGGGGCGGGTGGGGGGCCAGAGGTGATAGGAAGGAAGACAAGATGGTGAACAACAAAGGGTATAAGTGCGTACTGTGCGGCAGACACTATTCAAAGCCCTTTTCTGATTTCAACTGACTTAATGTTCTCAACAGTTCCATGAGGGAGACAACAATATTATCCCAGTTTCACAGGAGAGGAAGCTGAGAAAGGCAAAGGAAGCTGGGCAAAGGCACGGGGGTCTTTAGCTGTGGGCAGAGCTGGCCAGACTGAGGAGGAGCAGCCCACCCCACACCCAGCTCAAGCAGCTGAGAGGTCTGGGTTCTGATCCTGGTCCTGCCTCACACAGAAAGTGTTAATTAGCCTGGGCAACACGGCAGAACTGTCTCTACAAAAA